AATCTCAAAATTTACAAGCAGCCCATGCAGCTCAATATCAAAACAACAAAGAGCCCAATCCAAAAATGGGCAGAAGACCTGAATAGACATTTCTCCAAAGAAGATGTACAGATTGCCAGCAAACACATGAAAGAATGCTCAACATCTCTAATCACTAGAGAAATGCAAATTAAAGCTACAATGAGGTATCACCTCACCCTGTCCATCCTCAAAAAATCTACAAACAATAAATTCTGGAAAGGGTATGGAGAAAAGGGAACCCTCTTGCACTGTTGGTGGGAATGTAAATTGATACAGCCACTATGGAGAACACTATGGAGGTTCCTTAAAAATTTAAAAATAAAACTACCATACAACCCATCAATCCCACTATGGGGCATATAACCTGAAAAAATGGTAATTCAAAAAGAGTCATGTGCCACAATGTTCATTGAAGCTCTATTTACAATAGCCAGAACATGGAAGCAATCTAAGTGTCCATCGACAGATGAATGGATAAAGAAGATGTGGCACATATATGCAATGGACTATTACTCAGCCATAGAAAGAAACAAAACTGTGTTATTTCTAGTGAGGTGGATGGACCTAGAGTCTGTCATACAGAGTGAAGGAAGTCAGAAAGAGAAAAGTAAGTACTGTATGCTAACATATATATATGGAATCTAAAAATATTTTAAATGGTTCTGAAGAACCTAGGGGAAGGACAGGAATGAAGAGCAGACATAGAGAATGGACTTGAGGACATGGGGAGGGGGAAGGGTAAGCTGGGACAAAGTGAGAGAGTGGCATGGACATATATACACTACCAAATGTAAAATAGATAGCTAGTGGGAAGGAGCTGCATAGCACAGGTAGATCAGTTCGGTGCTTTGTGTCCACCTAGAGAGGTGGGATTGGGAGAGTGGGAGGGAGACACAAGAGGGAGGAGATATGGGGATATTTGTATATGTATAGCTGATTCACTTTGTTATACAGCAGAAACTAACACACCATTATAAAGCAATTATACTCCAAAAAAGTTGTTAAAAAAAAAAGAGACAATCCATCATATTAAAAATGTATAAATGAAGAAAATAAAAACAAATACAATTTCAAATGAATTAACTAAATGCCAATCAAGGAACTCAAATAAAATTGAAGTACTAATGTAAGGCTAAAACTTTAAAGTTACTAAAGAGTTGATTACTCAGGTTCCTAAAACAGTGAAGACTGGTTTGTAGGCTTTTGTGGCCTCTGGAGCCACCTCCAAATCTGAGTGACAATGAGAAATGATCAGCACAATTAAATCCTAGCGTCCAGGGCAATGCACAGAAAGAGGAAAGCTTCAAGGCAGGGCATGTGTTTGGGGAAAAAATTTGTAAGAAAAACTCCTGTACAAAAGTGTTGTTTTAAACATTCTCAATTCAAACTAATAGCATTATACATTTTAAGATACTTTAACTCTAATTTAGTTTTATACAGATGACTAACATTCTCCAACAAAACCTCATTAAATCTTATTCTGAAAAATTTATGTCTGTTTTATTATCCTTTGGAGTCCTCTCTTTCAAAATAGAGAATGAAAAGGAGCAATTGATTCTGAGGGGAACAAAATCCTCCACCCCAAAATGTCTCTTTGGCTTGAGGATTATCTGAGGCTGATTGCTTTTAAGAGACAAAGACTCAGGAAGTCTTTCTTTTTACCTTCCCTTTAACTGCTTAAAAGAATTTAGATACGAGGCCCTGTCCAGGCAGAGCCCTCTCACCAGAGAAATCTATAGAGAACAACACCTACTGTGGTAGGGAAACTCAACAGGGCCTGGAGAGCAAAGTCCAATCTGTGTCCCATTTTCTCTATGGCACAGCAAATATTCATTTACCAAATATTTGTTTTTCCATCTCTATGTGAATTGCCTTCCTCCACTCTAAAGCCCCAAACCCTTACCCCGTTCTCCTTCCCTCAGGTGGCATATAGGCCTCAGTTGCCTAACTTGTTCTTGGGCCTCATAGTCTTGAGGAGACCCTGCATGTCACTAAATTTGGTTTTCTCCTGTTCATCTGTGTCACATCGATTTAATTTTTAGATGAGCCAAAATAACCTAGAAAAGGTAGAGGGAAAGTTTTTTTCCTCTCCAACAATTCAAAGTACAAGAACAATATCATAATTGGTGCAAATTTTCTATGACTAATCTATTTTTCACTCATGGTACTTATGTATTGTTTCACAGGCATATGTTTTTTAAATTATTTTCTGATCTCTTTAGTTATGTTTAAGATGTCATCATCAAATATTCACCATTGTGAAATGTAATATTTTTTAATTTTTACTGTTATAAAATATATCTCAACTATTCAATTTAAAAAGTAGATTATAGAAGAAGGAACATTGGACTGGGAACCAGAATACTTATGCATTTCCAGCATTGTGACTTTCAGATTATTTAAATCTCTCTTAGTCTATTTTCTTACATACAAAATGATGGAGATGGGCAAACTGGACTTATGTTGGCTATAGAATGACAATCCCACATGCTATTACTGAAACCGTATTCAGAAGAGCTATAGGTGAACTCATAAAGCAAACAAATATGTGATTGTTTTAAATTACAGAACTTCATTATTTCATGAAATTATGCATATTTAGCATATTATTTTTTCACTGATGGAAATTTAAATCTAAGCTTATACTGCATATGTCTCCAAACATAATTTATTTTTTAATCTCTTCATCATTTTTGAATTTGCAAATTATGAAGCATTTCAGGTATACAGGAAACCATAGAATAAATGGAACAGAACTCTACATTGATGGTAGTGAGATTAAACATTTTAACATCCAAGAATAATTTTAAAACAAAAATAATATATATATATATCAGCTACTAATTAATTCTATTATCTCTTATTATCTTTATTAAATTATATAATTTTATTATTGTCCTGAAGAGACCACCTAACAGTGGAAAGTTAACTCCTTGAACGCTTGAATTTTTTTTTAAATGCAGGGTAATTTAGGGCTGCCTACCTGCATTTGATTCTTGGGTATATTTTGATAAGCTTTTAAATGTTATCATAGCTGTTGCTAGTGAGTAATGGCTAATTAATTATTATACTTACAAGGACTTCAATAACTGAACAAATCTCAGTATTTTATAAATAAACTTTCAGTTATCCTTTATATGTTGTTGTGTTTTGTCTCCTTTTTATAATAAGGTCATGACAGCAACAGATTTCTTTATGAAGCTATTTTAAATTCTCTTCACTAGGCCATTTTAATGGCCATCAAGATTAGTCATACTCTTCTCCTGCTGTTTTGTTTCAAAATGTAATTAATTTTAAAATTACTGCCCCTATAACCAAATTGAGGCTAGCTCTTGAAAGGACACAAATACAATCATTCTAAAAGCATAACTTCTCTCTCTCCTCTTTCCCTTTCTCTGCCTTCCTGGTCCTTTTGCTCCTTAAGGTCCTGAAATGACAATTCAAGGGCAAAAGATCATAAAGAGAAAACCCAGCACTTAATTTCCAATCTCAGTTCCCGGTTTCTATCCTTTTAATCACTTTTTTTGTTCTTATTTTCTCTTTTTAATGGCAGCTTTCAAAGATTTTAACTTTTAAAATAGCACCAGTATATATTTGCCCTTGTTCAGTTTGGCATTCACTAAGAACCTCAACTAACATGTATCATTACATCCATGTCTAGCCAGTAATTCTGTAGCTAACCCACTGATTTACTGGTCAATCTTTAGGCAAATTTATTAAACTGCTAACATTACTAAACTCTTGCTCTGAACCAAGCAGTCTGCAAAGCAGCTTTGCAGATATTATTGCTAATTTACAACTTAATATAACAAATTAGCATCATCTCTCATTTACACATGAGAAAACTAAGGCTGAGAGGATCTAGGTAATTCATCAGGGTCACAAATCTTGTTAAAGGTCAGTTTTTGAATCCGGGGCTGTTGAAATCTAGAGTTCACCTAATTTAAGCTACTAAACAGCTCTGAGTAAAAAGCGTATGTTTTCTCAGGGTGCTGGTTGCTATCTCCTTGATTGTGTATAAAGATATCATAGGGAAGAAAATTAAAATTTCCCTGTAACAAGAAGACAGTGATCAATTTGCTTTATCAGAGAAGAAAACAGTCCTCTATCAAATGTGTAGTAATTAACTCTATTACCCAATTAATCTAAAACTTCTTGAAGTGTTTGAGCAAACATCCTCTAAGGGAAGCTTGTTTTTAATATTTTCCTAATATGAGCCATGGGGAAATGATAATAATGCTGGTCACTTGGCATTGCCAAAGTTCCTGAAACTTAACAAAGATGAGACATGACATCGTAAAAAGCCAGAAATAAGTGAAATAGTGTTATGATTGTTGGCCCAATTGTACTACTCTGTCAAATATGCTTCTGGATATGCAATTCAACATTAGTTTCATCATCCATGAAATGGAGTAAATCACTTCTGCTAAACAAGATTATGAAAAGGATTGAGTCAGACAATGCATGTAGAAATGCCTTATAATAAAGATATCCAGCTTGAAAGTTCTGCAAGTTGAGGCAAAGTGACTTTAGTAGTGAGAAATATTATTTTTCATTTAACAATTTGGGGAAAGGTATACTAAATTGAAGGCACATTTTATAAATTATGGTTATTTTCACAGAGAACACAGATATCAGGCTTATAACCTGCCTGCTTCTTTTTCTTTAAAATAGGGCCAGATTTCATTTCTTTTGTTGGACTAATCATATTAATATATTCAAGAATTTGAGTTATATTGTTTTCCTTTTAGTCTATAGATCAATTGACTTATGAATGAGTGTAGCCATCGCATTAAATATTATTTTGTTTGAAAAAATAATCTACCTAAATATACTTTGAAAGTTTCTTTTCGTCTTAAAAGATCTGTAGTAGGATGGTTTCCATAATGGATATCACCATGCCTAAGAAGTTTTCCCATCTTCTGATTTTTAATTTGACTCCGATTGAAATTGTTCTAAGTGGGAATGTGCTAATTTAGCCAAGGATGGTAGCCATCGGTTAAACACTAAGATCATTTTAGAAGAGTTGAATCAAAGAAATCACAATGTGACTGTACAGGCTTCATCAGCGACTCTATTCGTCAACTCCAGTGATGATTCTCTTGTGAATTTTGAGGTGATATCTGTTTCCTACAAGAAAAGCAACATCGGCTCCTTAATTGAACATCTGATAATGCTGTGGATAGATCACAGACTGACTCCTCTCACGCTCTGGACTTTTTACAAAGAACTAGGAAAACTCCTACATACTTTTTTTCAGATTAATATACAAATCTGTGATTGAGTATTAAAGAACCCCAAGTTAATGGCAAGACTTCAGAAAGGAGGCTTTGATGTGCTGCTAGCCGACCCAGTAACAATCTGTGGAGACTTGGTTGCTCTGAAATCAGGAATTCCATTTATGTACACTTTGAAGTTCTCTCCAGCCTCAGCAGTAGAGAGACACTGTGGAAAAATCCCAGCACCTGCCTCCTATGTACCTGCAGCACTTTCAGAGCTCACTGACCAGATGACCTTTGGCGAAAGGGTTAAAAATACCATATCTTATCCACTGCAAGATTATATATTTCAGTCCTACTGGGGACAATGGAATTCATACTATAGCAAAATCCTAGGTAAGTCTCTAAAATATTATCTTACTATTGATTCTAGATATCTTATTTATTCTTATTGTTAATACAGCAGAAGGTTTCCATACCACCGCCTATGCCAAGCTGAAGTAAATACACTTATTATGCATTTGTACACATCCTTGAACATTATTTCTGGATAAATTCCTAGAAAATAGAGTGGTGGTATTAATACGTATGTTGTTGTCTCAAAGCAAATAATGTTGTGCTTATTTAGGTAATAGCTTTTCAATGTGTAAATCAATCTTCAAATATAAATGAAAATACCTTTACTAGGATAAATTATGACACTGCTAAAAAATACCTTGACACACATTTTGAAGTGATACCTGATTTACTTTCCCTCTTCATTCTTCATTTTTTCTTTTCTGAGGAAGCTTTAAAAAGCCTAGGGTTAGGCATTGGAAACTTGAATTTATACTCTGCTCTGCCTCTCACTATCTCTCCATCCTTAGGTTCCCCTGGGTGCTTGCGCCAGCACTGCCTCCAACTTAATTGCTCAGGGACCTTTGGCAAACCTCAAGGTTCCTTGTCTCACAGATTCCTTTATGAGCATCAAACAAAATAAAACAAACTGTCAAGGCCAGTTCTGGTTCATTGTATATATTATTTCTTTTTCTCATCTTCATGAGTCTTCCTTTCTTTATTTTTCTGTTTTCTTTTCTAATTAATGCTTTTTTCTCTAGGTCTATTAGTAGTAGCAGGGATACTAATTAAAAGCAAAAATTAATAGTTGATGTTACCAATGGTACTTTCTTATAAAGGTAATATGCAAAATACTATTCTTTCACTCACCTTTTGGCTTTCCTCTGTCCCTCCCTTTATTTCTTTTCTTCCTTCTTCCATCTCTCCCTATCTCCCTTCATTTATTTTACTTTCTTCTTTCCCTCTTCCTTCCTTCCCTCCTCTTTTCCTCCCTCCCTCCTTCCTTCCTTCCTTCCTTCCATCCATCTCGCTTTCTTTGTGTAGAAAAGTTACCAAATACCAGCCCAGTACCTACCTCTTTTCTAGGTACTGGGAATACAACAGTTAGCAAAACAGATCAAAATCTCTACTCTACCCTTATGGAGCTCACACTAGTAAACGGAGACAGTCAACAAATAAAATGAATCTATAAAATATACAGGGTGTTAGACTGTGATATATGCTATGTAGTAAAACACGAAGACTAGACAGTTCTGCAAGTAGTGTTATACTTTTAAATAGGGTGGCAAAGGAAGGTCTGAACTGAAAAGATGACATTCAGACAAAGACCTCAGAGCAGTGAGAATGAGAACCAGTAGGATCCCTGGAGAAAAAGCATTTCAGGCATAAGTAAAAACAAGTGCAAAAACCCATGGCAGGCCATAGATGCAGGACTTACATAAGGATTTACAATAAAGATTTAATGTATCTTGACCTTAAATCTTACTTTTCACAAGTAGAATCTGTAAAATTTTTTTCTTTCCTTGATTTTGGAATACTCTATCCTGTTTTCCATCACTTTTAAACTTCTTTGTGGAATTAGTCTAGAAGAAAGATATTGAACATATCATACACATATAAATAAAACATATGCAAGGTAATTAAATTTTGCATATACTTTTGTAGATATGGTAGAATTTTGAAAGTAAAATTCTGTGTTTTTATATCTTTTATAATGTAACATAACTATATTTTCTTTTTTTCTGGGTTCCAAATTTCATATGCTTCAGAAACATATTTCACTTTAAATTTAGGTGTTATTCACATGATTATTTCCCAAGACATTTGAAATGTGTGCTATAGTAGTTATCATTGCGCATATATGTATCACATACCAACAACTACTGTGGGTTTTGAATAAGGTAACTGTCTATAAATAAGGAGATATAAAAAGTAAAATGGTGAAGGGCCTTGCAAAGCACAGGAGATTCTGGGTTCAAGTTCCATTTGCTAAATGTGTGATCTCAGGCAGGTAAACTCGAGTCACAGCACATCCTTCTCTTTAAAATGGGGAAATTATTTCACAGTACTCTTTAGGATGATCATATGACACTTTATGGATGGAAATGTTATGTCAATTATGAAGGTTTATACTTATGCTGAATATTATTTACACCAAACTACACAAGAACTCTGTAATGACAATGCCCTAATTATACTATCATGGGGCTATGTACATAGAAAGTAGTCAGTAAATATTTGTAGAAAATAAACGACCTCTGGGATATACTAAATCTCCCTTCTCAAAGGAAACCATGACAAATTATATAACGTGTGAAAAAGTCTTTGTGAAACAGAATGTTCCCAACTTCTCATTTGCACAGTATACTAATCTAGCTTCAGAAATCCCACATATTAAGAAATTAAATATTTTATTTACTTAAATCCTTTACGCTCTTCATGTTACTAAATGTAGTTGAACAACAAATAACTACCTTGAATATTTTATTTCAAATCAAGCTATATTTCCAAGAAGAACTGGTAAAATCTAATTTGTCTTTTGTTTTCAATTACATTCTTAAAGTATTAGAGATGCCTGTTAACTGTAAACTGACACTGAAATAGGGCAGGTACCTTATATTTGATATTATCTTTGAATACGAGATTTCATAATGTCAAATTTCTGAGAAGTTTCCATTTCAATGACTGTTCTTCAGTTCTGTGAGAAAAATAGACTAGAAAAATAGCATGCTTAAATGTGGTTAGAAAACAAACAAAAACCCTCAAAAATCTATTTTGAAAGAAATAGAAGTAAGTAACAAGGAAATATCTAACTGCATTGGTTAAAAATCCTGTTTTATTTATCAGTGAAGAAATATTTTGTGAATGAAGTAAATTAAAATGATCATCAATTCAATTTTGAATATGTTTCTAACACCTAATGGAACAGGCATATCTGGGAATATGCCGATATTGTTATTCATATTAAGGAGTGAATCTATTAATAAATCTTGCCCTGGCTAATTGTTCTGCAAGGCATCATCCAATTGCACTGAGCCTGATCTCTCCCCCAACCTCAGAGAGATTTGCTGTACATATAGTACATAGGTGGTTCTCATGTGGGAAGGATTTGAGACTAGCCTTTGCTACAGCTATAGGAAGGCCAAGGACTTGAATGTTGTAATGAAAATAGTTAAACCGATAAAGAAACTGAATAGTCCCATTTTGCCTGTGTCTTTTGGTTTCCTGATCTGTCTCCATTTTTCCCAGCACACTGCAGACAGGAGAGAGGAAAGCTCAGTACTAATCTATGTAACACTCAACCAGTGTAGCCTGCTTTTACCTCTAAGTACCATGTGGGTTCCATGTTGGTCCCTCTTTCCCTGCTGCTAAATTTTAGATGGATTCCCTAGAACTAACCCTACCTTTTCCCAGACGATTAAAATAAATTAATTAATTAAATAAATAAGCCTCATAACATTTCCCATCTACCCCACTTGACTGAAACTGGGCTAGGTTACTCACTACATTTTTTACATTTGATTTCTGGCTCCCTTTCTGGGCCCAATATTTTTTAATTTGTTTTTCTGTAACTCACTCCCATTCTAATCCTCATTGCCAACATCTCATCGTTTCCCTGGAAAAGGTGGATCTCTGTTAATCTGCTCTCACGTAGCAGATTATTTATTTATTTTGCGGTACGCGGGCCTCTCACTGTTGCAGCCTCTCCCATTGTGGAGCACAGGCTCCGGACACGCAGGCTCAGCGGCCATGGCTCACGGGCCCAGGCGCTCCGCGGCATGTGGGGTCTTCCCGGACCGGGACACGAACCCGTGTGCCCTGCATCGGCAGGCGGACTCTCAACCACTGCGCCACCAGAGAAGCCCTCACGTTGGCTTTTAATTCCTTCTCACATACGGTTTTCCTGTGGCCAGTGCTGTGAGATTTTAAAAATTCTCTGTAACCTTTCTTTGGAGGTAAAACATAAATCATAAATTGTACAGCTCATTGCAGTTTTGCAATATAAAGCCACCGATGCAACCAGCACCCAAGCCAGTACGCAAAACATTATTATACCCATAACGTCTTATCCCTCCTCGCATCAGTCCCTACAACTCCCATCTAAGGGTAACGACTTTCTTGACCTCGAACACCACAGATTAAATTTGCCTGATTTTAAACTGTAAAACTGAACCACACATTATGACTCTTTTGTATTTTGCTCCTTTTATTTAACATCATGTTTTTTTGTCCAAGTCGTTGTACGTATAGTATGTTCATTCTCAAATCTATTGAGTTAATATACATTTTACTTATCTATTCTACTGTTGACAGTCATGTTGGCTATCTTGGTTTTGGCTATGTATGATAAACATTGCTATGAACATTCTTGTACATGTCTTTTGGTGAATACATGTATGTCATAGTATGGGGTATATACATAAGAGTGGAATTGCTAAGTCATAGGTTATGCATCTGTTTAGGTTTAGAAGATACTGCTGAAGTCTAGATTCTCAAGCACTTGTACGGATTGATAATCTCATCAGCCATTTACTAGGATTCCGATTGTTCTCCTTTTTTTTTTTTCTTTTCATTTTCATCTCACTGGGCATTTTCTTTTTTTCTTTTATTTTAATTGTAACCATATTGTTGATGTGCTCATTATTATTTTTTTATTAATGGTTAATCTGCATGTTGTTTTTCAAAAAGTACATAAAGCATACAGTGCTTTGTTTTATCAGATGTATATACCTTTGTAACCAACACGTCAATCTCTAAGATCCCTTTCTAACATGGCAGCTCTCCAGAACTTTTTAGACACTTATCAGACTGAATAACTCCTACCATTTAGTTCAGTTTTCTTATTTACTTCCATTTTTCTTTTTTTATTGAACTATAATTGATTTACAATATTATAACATATTTGTTTCAGGTGTATGACATAGTGATTCAATATTTTTATAGATGATACCCCATTTAAAGTTGTAAAACACTGGCTATATTCTCTGTGCTGTACAATATATCCTTATTGCTTATTTATTTTACATATAGTAGTTTGTATCTCTTAATCCCACTTCTACCTCCCCACTGGTAACCACTGGTTTATTCTCTATATCTGTGAGTCTGTTTCTGATTTGTTATGTACATTCATTTGTTTTATTTTTTAGATTTCAAATATAAGTGATAACTTAGAGCATTTGTCTTTCTCTGTCCAACTTATTTTACTAAGCATAATATCCTCTAGGTCCATCCACATTGTTGCAAATGGCAGATTTCACTCTTTTTTATGGCTGAGAAATATTCCATTGTGTGTATTATGTATATATATATATATATATATATATATATATATATATATATATATACACACACATCACATCTTCTTTATCCATTCTTCTGTTGGTGAACACTTAGATTACTTCCATAACTTGGCTATTGTAAATAATGCTGCTATGAACATTGGGGTGCATATATCTTTTTGAATTAGTGTTTTTGTTTTCTTTGGACTTCCATTTTTCTTTTTTGAGCTTTTTAATACACCCTATAATCATTTTAACTGTAAAAGTAACATCATTACATTGTCACTCATGTTCAATTTGTGATCCATCAAGCATCTCTGGTCTAATTTTCTATTCAGTGATTTGGCAGCTAATGCCCTTCCTAGATGTACCAAGTGTACATCTAAATGTGAGTGGACTAGAATACCTAGAGAAGGTGTAACCAAGGGAACAGCAGAGGTGATGCTTGTAATCCCAGCAACTCAGCCCCAGAGAACATGGTTACAGCAGGGAAGGCAGTGCACACAACTCAGGCCTCCTGGCTGCAATGGTGCTCGCAGCCACAGGTAACCGGGCAGCAGTGGGAGCAATGTCTATGACTCTGTCCTTCTAACCATGGAGACACCCACAACTCCAGGCCCTTGCCCCTGCCTCCAGTGGTAGTGCCTGTGAACCCAATAACTCCGAACACTGCAGAGGAACCTGTGACCCCCACTTCCCTCCATCTTTCCCCACCCCCTGTGGAGAACAAGCCTATGCGTGACTCAGGAGATGGCAGACAGAGCAGAAGCACCCACTATCCTGGAGCCTCAGGCAGCAATGCCAGTGACATCAGCAGCAGCAAGGCACCAAGGACTCCAAAGTAGTGACAATGCCAGCACTAGGCAACACCCATGACAGAGTTAGCAGAGGGTGGAAAGTGCCTATTCTCAAATATAACCAGTCAGCGCAGGTAAGAGAAACGAAAAACCTTTGCTATAGTGCCACGTACTGGAAAACAATAGAAAGACATTCACTACTTCGAATGTGCCAGCAGAGGAACAACTCATCAAGCTCCATGAAGATCCACAGTAACATTGTACCACAAAAAGAAAATGACAGTTGTCCAGAAACCAATCTTAAAATCACTGAATATCACAATCTGATAGAGAATTCAAAATAGCTATCATGAAGAAACCCCAACAAGCTACAAGAGAACTCCAAAAGTGAATTCAATGAGCTCAGGAATAAAATTAATGAATTAATTAACAGAAAAAATAATTTACCACGGAGATTTAAACTCTTAAAAGAATCAAACAGAAATTCTGGAGCTGAAGAACTCAAAACACTGGAGGTACCACACTCCCTGATTTCAAACTATAAAAAGCTATAATAATCAAGACAGCATGGAATTGACTGAAAAACAGATACATAAATCAACGGAACAGAATTGAGAGGCCAGAAATAAACCCACACATATATGGAGAATTAATTTATGACAAAGGAGCAAAGAACATACAATCTAGAAAGGATTCTCTCTTCAATAAATGGGTACAGGAAAAACATTTTACACAGAAATTTACATTGCAATATTGAATTACACTTTGTTTTATTGAATTATCCATAATGTTTTATTATTCTCACTGTTTTTTTAATTCCAAAATTATCAATATTATATATATGTGTGTGTGTCTATTTGATATTGATGTTGTAGATATTGTTTAAAGTTGAACATATGCATCTATCTATATAAAGTGGTATTATATATTATATAATATTATATATAGTGTATATTATAAGAGATATCAACTTTTTTTCAGTTTATCAAAGCATTTTTATTAATTTTTTCTTTTACTTTTTAAAAAATTTATTGAGGTATAGTTAATTTACAAAATTATATAGGTTTCAAGTGTACAACATAGCAATTCACAATTTTTAAAGCTTATACTCAATTTATAGTTATTATAAAATATTAGCTATATTTTCTGTGCTGTACAATATATCCTTGTAGCTTAGTTATTTTATACATAGTAGATTGTATCTCTTAATCCCCTACCCCATCTTGCCACTCCTCCCTTCCCTCTCCCTAAAAAGAATTTTATTTTTAACAGTCTGCACTGACTCCCTGAGCATTAATATGGAAGTTGGCTTATCAAATGATGAACTCAATCTTCCAATTCAATGTAGGAACTGCTCATATTTAAACAATAAGTGGACCAGTTCTTTTTGGCCCTGTTAAAGCTAAACGTTATACCTGAAGGACCAGGAGATTCGTAATTCTTTGCATAGGGAGTCAAAGTTGAGCTAATTCTTTTTTTTTTTTTTTTCATAAGATGACATTTATTACTGTCAGTAAAATATAACACTAAAGACACTAAGTACAAAATAGGTTAAATATGTCATCTCCCCACACAATTAAGAGCTGACCCCCAAGATCCAAGTGGACGAAAGCTCTGAGGAAGCAGAAGGGCCATTCATTCTGCAAGAACCAAACTAGACATATCAACTTAAAAACATTACATATGTATAATATATATGTTTGTGTATGCAATATTATACTATGGATATGTTCAAGTTTGTAAAACATTACATATGCAGAACATCTCTCTATACATTATATATAATATTAAATATATATATATATATATATATATATATGTATAAGTTGAAAGTTTGTCTCCCCAGGTGCAGAGCTGTAACTTGGCAGTGGCTATATGTTTCTTTGAATTTCAATATAGATAACTATAGCATTTGAAAGTTATGGCAGTTTTATTTTCTTTTTTTTTCCCCTAGTGCATCCTTTTTTAAATACAATTTTTAAAAGTTACTTCCCATTTGCAGTTATTACAAAATATTGGCTACATTCCCCATGTTGTTATGTGAGTATTGGTATGTGCAAGTATATTTACTAGCTTTGTCTTCTGAATAAGACTAAAAACCCCAGTAGCACTGAACACACCTAACATACCTTGATTTTTAAGTGCCATTCTCTAATAAAATGAACCAGCATTCATTGAAGAAATGGTTGATTTTAAGGTTGGGGCTGTGAAAATAGTAGAGTTTCCTGAAACATTTTGTGGTATCAGAAAGTAAAGAGTGCTTGAAAATGATGGGGTCATATCAAAAGGACATAGGAACTAATATATGAAAAAGTTTCCAAAATCTGTGACAATTTGAGCAATAAAATGAATAATGATAATAAATTAAATAGAATCTATAAAAATAAATTTTTGAGTTATAGTGATATAAGTAAATAAATAATTGAGTAAGTAGGAAATTATTTAAATTCTAACTAATAAATATAGAAGGAACAATTAAATTTTTTAATTGACTGGGTTTTTAACATTACATTTACACAACCATAATAAAGTTATCAAAACTAGGAATTCTTATTAAAACATTGTCAATTATCCTGATGATTCCCTTTTTTCTTTCCAATATACAATCCAGGTTTCCCCCTTATATTTACTTGTCCAGTCTCCCTACTCTTCAATTTGTGACAGTTCCCACAGTCTTTCTTTGTTTTTTCCTTTATGAAGAGTACCGGCTAGTTATTTTTCAGAATATCCCTCAATTTTTTTTTCTGGTATTCTCTTGTGATTAGGGTGAGATGATGCATTTGGGGTAAGAATACTACCAAAGCAATCTTGTGTCCTTCACAGTGTGACATAGCAGAGGTACATCATAGAGATAGGTTATTACTAGTGATCATATTTTGATCACTTAGTTAAGATGGTGTCTGAGAGGATTCTCCCTATTTCACCCTTTGTAATTAATAAGTATCTTGAAGGGAGATACTGTGAGACTATGCAAATCATGCTATTCATATGTCTGCACATATTTTTACAATCCTTTACAGTAAATTTCCAATTAATAGTTACAGAAGGAGTAATGGAAATAGAAAATCACTATTAGGCAAACACATAGTAATAACTACTGCAGGGTATACAGAAATTTCTATACTTAATTTGAAACTTTTTATGTCTAAAATGATTATTTATTTAAAAAGTTAAAGTAATTGGAAGATTTGGTTAAAGGAACATTAATGTAGGGCTTAGTTGTGCAGACTGGTTGCATGAAAAATGCACAAGCTTTAAAGAGTGAAAAAAGACTTGAGAGAGGAGGCACCAAGTAGGCAAAACCACTAACTAGATTCAAGTCTTAAGTCTATTCTCCATGCCTCTTCACCATTCTATCATATTTCCTATTTCATTTTTTTAAATTCAGAACTTAATTCCACATAACATCTTCTGATTTCTCTTTTGGGTCACTGTTCATTTGTACAGTTGCATTTAATCTGCTCTTCAGTCAAAATTGACTTTTAAATTTTATTTGTTGAATTCTTAATTTCCAGAAATTCACTTTATTTCTTTAGCAAATTTTCACAATTATTCTTTTTAATCTCTTGTTCCTTGCCCATATTTTCGGACTTCACTTTCATAACCTTAAATCTATTGTACAAAATAATTTTATTTTTCATTCAAACAATAATAATACTTCAAATCATTGCGCTAATATTTCTGGTCTCTGTTGCTTTTTCTGGTTCTCAGTCCTGAAGCCTTGTTTCCTTGTGAAAAGGAGCTGTTTATTTCCCTTGAAATTTTATCTGTGGGAACCTTTGAAGCTGGGGTCAGTTTCTTCAAAGAGCCTTTTCTAGTTTGAGCTGCAAATCCATACAAAAGCTGACTGTGTTAATTCTAAGGGAAGATTTTTTTCATCCATACAATGCCAAGTCAAAAATAGCAATTTTCCTTGCTGTAAACTTCTGTGTAAAGGAATTATTCATAAAAGCGAGGCCATATCTCGAGAATCTAACATTACATGAACATACGCAGGGTGTGGGGTCTTAGGCAAACCTTCAGACTTTCCTTCTCCCTACTCCTGCCCTATACTGTGTATTCTTCAAAGAAATGACAAGCTTGAACATCAGAATTCCTGCTTTGACTTTGTTTAGGGATTCTGCTGCAAAATGAATTTTAATGGGGCAATTTTATATTTTATCTAGAATTTTAAATGTTTCAGTTTGACATAAGTGAAAAAAGGCCTATATTTTTAAATTTATGCAAATAAATCCTTCAAAATCTGAGTTCTACCTTAGTTTTCTCATATAATAAAAGAACTTAGAAATATTTCTCTACCAAATTACACATGTAGGTTGTGGTCAATTTCTGACCTGTATTATATATCTCTGCTCTCTCTTTGACTTTGTTTAAGCTGTTTACAGCATATGAATTTTGTCATAGTGAGTAGATAAATTTATGTCTTTTTTTTCAAATCACTTCTGGGTTACTTATCCTGTATAAAAGGACCTTCCTCCTTTAAGATTACAATGTTATCTCAATTTTTCTTTTCGTGGATTTATGGTTCTGTCCTATCTTCTTGTTTTCTGACTCTCTTTTGGATTCTACTTTTTACCAATTACTACCAGAACTTAGCCTAACTATGCAACATAGCACAACCCTCAATCCTTGGTCCTGGATTTATCTTGGCATCTTCTAAGCAAACCTACTCTGTGTTTTCATTTTAGCAAAACAGATAATCTCTCAAGGGATTTGAAATTTCAATATATCTCTTTCAAATTATTGAAATCAGTATAATTTTGTAACTGAATATAACCCTTGATATAACTATGCCACACGTCTTAGAACACAAATACATTAATATTATCTTTTACTTCTAAGTGATACTTTTCAACCTGCTAAATAGACTCTTAAAGACTTAGCTAACTCATAATTCCATCATTCCCTTCCTCCACTAAGCAACCTCCTTCATGGGCTTTGCCCTTCCTCAATTCATCTCTACCTTATATGATCCATCTCCCTTATACTTGCAGAATAAGTATTAGTTAACTGGTTAACTTAGTTTCTCCAATAATCTGTGAGATCATTTTGAATTAGAACTGTATCTTACTTGTCTCTTTATGCCCTGCAAATAATATAGAATCTGGTATATAATAAGTGCTAAAAATTGCTTGCTGAAGGTATGAAATATCAAGAATTTGGAGAAGAATTGGAATTGGATTGAAATATGGATGGATGAGTAGACATAAAATCTGTACTTCTAAATTTTACCCCTCTCTTGGATTCACAGACATGTCCAGTCTTTAACTTACACACTGCAGGTCAAAAATTCTTCTGATAGCCACTCTTCCTTTAGTGTTTCATGATTTTGCTAGTGTCATTATCACACTCTGGTTGCTCAAAGTATAAACCAAGCACTTCCTTGTTAACTACTGGTCACCTTTCACTTCCTGTCAGTCATTAAGACTTTCATTCTATGCTCTCCATTCACAAATCAATATTATATTCTCCCTGATACTCTCATCAAATCTTGCTTTCTTAATATTTAATTTTTAACCAGTTACATATTCTTTTTTCTCTACAACTCAAATCCTATTTAGAGGTCAGAATAGTTTTATTAAAGGATATATATGATCATTTTCTGAACCTGATTCGAAAATTTGAGTTGACATATTTTTATGGAGATTAAAACTGAACCCAGGAGCTTCCCTGGTGGCGCAGTGGTTGAGAGTCCACCTGCCAATGCAGGGGACACGGGCTTGTGCCCCGGTCCGGGAGAATCCCACATGCCGCGGAGCGGCTGGGCCCGTGGGCCGTGGCCACTGAGCCTGCGCGTCCGGAGCCTGTGCTCCACAACGGGAGAAGCCATAACGGTGAGAGGCCCGCGTACTGCAAAAAAAAAAAAAAAACTGAACCCAGAGTATAGCATTCAAGGCTCTCCAAAGTGTCTTATTTTAACTAATATTTTCCTTTTCTGCACAGTTCTTTTGTGATAGCCTCTGCTCCATACATACTGAACTAATAACTGTATACTTAAATGACCATGACTTACATATTCATCTTTTTCTCCTGCTCTTCTATTCACCTTCAGAACCCTTCTCCTGTAATCTTTGCTACTGGGCTCAGCTGAAATGTCCCCTCCATCTTGAAGCTTTGTCTGATTTTCTTCACATTACAGTGACAGCATTTTCTGAGGCCCTGAAACTCTGTACCTTTGAACAGTATTTAGTATATTCCTCCTATATTATGTGATGTATGTGTTTTATCCACATACTAGCATGTGACCAACCTTATGACAAGACCTACATTTTATGTTTACCCAAATTATTAATCATCATGTTCCAAAAGATACACCATATTATTTACTAGACTTACTTAAATGGCTTCTTCTATCACATTTTAAAATTTTCATTTAAAAATATCTTTTCTATTTTAACATATTTAAAACAAACTCCTAGAATGTGGCAATCATTTCCTCCAAAATATATAAATATTTCATACCTCCTCCTGAACAAGTTTCATATAGTACTGTGCACAGTTAAAAACACTGGCAAAGTTCTCTGCATGTAAGTGCCATTTCCTAACTCTAGAAATTAATTTTTAACTTGATCTATGTCTAAATTGCCACTTCATTTCTGTGCCCAGCAAATATTCAACCTCTGTAGAGAAATGAGTGAGGCAGCTGCTGTCATGGTGTCTGAGAAATGGGTTTCAGCAATTCTACTGCTGCAGCTCAGCTTCACTGGCTGTGGATTCTGTGAGACGGTCCTGGTGTGGCCCTGTGACATGAGTCATTGGCTCAATCTAAAGGTTATTTTGGAGAAACTCACAAAAAGGTGCTACGAAGTAACTGTGTTGGTGTCTCCACAAAATCTCATCACTGATCACAACAAGCCTTCCACACTGAACTTTGAGGTGGTCCCTGTGCCACAGGACAGAAAGACTGCTGAAAATACACTAAATGACTTTTCAGACCTGTCTGTTAACGTCATGCCATCATTGTCACCCTAACAATCAGCAAAACAGCTGCAAGAATTTTTTCTTCAAATAAGTAGACACTTAACACTTCTGTGTGAGAGTGTTGTCTACAACCAGTCAATCATGAAGAAGCTCCAGGAAACCAACTATAATGTTATGATTATAGACCCTGTGATGCCCTGTGGAGAGCTGATTGCTGAGTTTCTGGGAGTCCCTTTTGTGTACACGCTAAGGCTCTCCTTGGGTAGCACAAGGGAGGAATACTGTGGGAAACTTCCAGCTCCGCCTTTCTATGTGCCTGTTGCCATGGTAGGACTAACAGACAAAATGACATTTCCAGAAAGGGTAAAAAAATTAATGCTTTCCATTTTCTTTGACTTCTGGCTCCAACAATATGACTGACACTCAGCTTTGGGACCAGTTTTACAGTAAAGTATTAGGTAAGAGACTCTGCTTTTCATTCTAAAGTAGTTATCAGAAGAAGCTAAGGAGGTTTCAGAAAAGTCTAGGAAGATGAAAGGAATATATTTTTAAAACTTTCACTTCCACATAAAATTCCACAACTGATAGCAATGAATTGTTATTCAATAAATAATTGGGAAGGGGAGGCAAGAAATATCTTGCTATAGTTACTCTTTCTTTCCAGTCATCTATTTTGTAGGATACTTCAATACTTAAAAGATTGTTACCAAAACAAAATGAAATATAAAACATGCTATTAAACGTCAATCCAGTGAAAGATGTATTTTTGTCAGATGCAGTATATCACAAATAGGTCTAGTACACTGAGTTTTCATAAAGGAGGACGTTTGACTTCTTATTGATAAAGAGAGTGTAATGTTTGTTGAAAGAGGAAGATAATCTTCTTGCCTGGTTTCAGTAATAAACTGAAACCTAAGCTATATTAACAATGGGATTAAATTTGTTATTTAACTTTCTTTGAATTTCGCTCTACAAATTTAGAATATCATAGATTATTAGATTGAAAATTTATACCATTCTCCTGTTGGACCAGAGTACCTTCTATTCCTATCTCTCTCATAAATTTGGGATGAAACTTCAGTAAGTCCTATGTGAACTGCTTCATCATAGCTGGTCATACTGAAAAGTTTCCTAGTATGTTTTATGTTTCTTGGAGGAGCATAATACAGAAACCTGGAAAATTAAATAGAAACTTAAAAGAGTTTACAGCTTGAGGTGTTAAAAACAGCATATTTTTCACTTCACTAGTTACATACGTTCTATTTTTAATCACTTGCCTTTTCTAATAAAGAATGGTTTTGCTTTACAATTTTCACATATCTAGCTCTTATCTGATCCCATCAGCTGAGGCTGGCTTTCACTTCAAATATTTTTTTTTTTACTGAAGTATAGTTGATTTACAATGTTGTGTTAATTTCTGCTGTATAGAAAAGTTATCAGTTATATATATGTATACATTCTTTTTTATATTCTTTTTCCATTATGGTTTATTTCAGGATATTGAATATAGTTCTCATGCTATACAGTAGGACCTTGTTGTTTATCCATTCTATATATAATAGTGCATCTGTTAACCCAGAATTCCCACTTTATCCCTTCCCCCACCTCCCTTCCCCCTTGGCAACCACAAGTCTGTTCTCTATATCTGTGAATCTGTTTCCGTTTCATAGATAGGCTCATATGTGTCATATTTTAGATTCCACATATAAGTGATATCATATGGTCCTTGTCTTTCTCTTTCTGACTTACTTAGGATGATAATCTCTAGTTCCAGCCATGTTGCTGCAAATGGCATTATTTCATTCCTTTTTATGGCTGAGTAATATTCCATTGTATATATATACTACATCTTCTTTATCCATTCATCTGTCGATGGACATTTAGGTTGTTTCCATGTCTTGGCTATTGTGAATAGTGCTGCTATGAACATTGGGATTCATGTATCTTTTTGAATTACGGTTTTCTCTGGATATATGCCCAGGATTGGTGGTCCATATGGTTCTAATTTTCATTTTTTGACGAACCTTCATACTGTTTTCCATAGTGGCTACACCAACTTACATTGCCACCAACAGTGTAGGAGGGTTCCCTTTTCTCCACACCCTCTCCAGCATTTGTTATCACTCCAAATATTTTTGAGAGTCATGAAGAAATATGAACTAACAAACAAAAGATCATACTGGGTATTATAAATATTAACTAATTTAACTTCCTTAATGTAGTAGTTTTCTAGGGATGCTATAACTAAATCTAAAAGACTAGATGGCATAAAAAAACAGAAGTCTATTTTCTCACAGTTCTGGAAGCTAGAAGTCCAAGACCAAGGTGTTGTCAAGGCTGGTTTCCCTTGAGGCCTATCTCTCTGGCTTGTAGATGGTCACCTTCTTGCTATGTCCTCTCATGGTCTTTCCTCTGTATATGTAAATTCATAGTGTCTCTTCCTCTTTTTGTAAGGTGATCTGTCATGTTAGATTAGGGCCCCACTCTTATAACCTCATTTAATTTTAATTACCTCTTTAAAGGACCTATCTTCAAATACAGTCAGATTTCAATATATTAATGTTAGAGGAACATAGTTCAGTCCATAACACTGATTTTTAATAGACACATTGTTTCACAGAAATAATAGTCAAAATAACCCACTTTAAAAATCCTTAGATTTACACACGATTTTGAATTTACACTGAATTGATTTCACAGTAAATAATTTAACAACTGATAAGAACTTCCTGGGTATAGGCAGTGTGTGGATTTAAGGTAAATAAGACTAGGGCCTTGGCCTCAATACTTCCCTCACAAATAAACACAAAACACAGAATTAGAAAAATACTCTGATTATTAGAGATGCTGCCCTAGTTCTAATCAATAACTTTCTAGGACATTTGTCATATTATACATAAATAGAGGAAAGGTATAGGATTCTGTATGTATACATATTATGAAACAAATATAGTCCTTAGGATCAATGGCAAATTTTTAACTCTAACATCTTTAATAGGTTTTTCTTTTACTGTAAGTACTGTCATTGATTTTCATTGCTGTACTCTCATGTTCTTTATTAAGCAATTCTGAATGCACTATGAGTATAATTTCATTCCTGATGTCATGATAAAAATAACTAATACAAATTGCTAAAAAATTTGAATGGAACAAAAGTATATATAATGAATGATAATTAGCTTCATGTTTCTCCTACATAAGCACTATTAACTTTTCTTGTTTTTACATCAAGATATTGTCTATGTATTATTAAACATAAATATACATTTTTTCTTTCTTTTACCAGTAAGAATAATGAGTAAATATTCATGTTTACCTACTTTTTCACTTAATATATATTTGACATCTTTCCACACAACATTTTAAAATCTACATTATCCTTTATATTGATTTAGTAATATTCATATGAATGGGTATAACAAATCATTGAACTGGTCTAGTGTGAAAGCTATACTTCGATTGTTCCAGCTCTGGTGTTACAAAAAAACATATATATATTGCCCTAAACTTTGGTACTTATATCTCTGCCACAATGTCCTCTAAAATTTTTGAAACATTTAACCTTTATCTTCAGACCTTTTCTTAGGTGGCCAGCAATTATTCCATTTTCTTATGGGCTGTTTATTCTATTGATCTCTAACTGGTCTGGAATTTTAGGGAATCTAAAGCCTTTCTTTCTATGATATGCATTACAAACATCTTTTTAAGCTCATCAATTGACTTAGGAATTTTAAACCAATTTACATCAACATAAAAATATTTTTATATAGTTTAAAAGATTACACATGAAGTTTCAGATTTTAGAAAATATCATACCAATAAAAAGTGAAAAAATGTAAGTATACAGTTGATGTAAATAATAAAATAAACTTCTGTGTGCATACAAGCAAGTTAAGAAATAGATAGTCGTCAGTCTCTTAGAAACATGCTTCTTCCAGTAAAAACCACAAGTCTGATTTTGGCGAACATTTTCTTGGAAATTTGATGTTTACCATTATATGTGATTTCCTCAACACTCTATTGTTTAGTTTATTTAAATATTATACAAATACAAGCATAGATGGGCTACTTATGCTCAATACTCTTTTTTTTTTTTTTTTTTTTTTTGCAGTACGCGGACCACTCACTGTTGTGGCCTCTCCCGCTGCGGAGCACAGGCTCCGGACGTGCAGGCTCAGCGGCCATGGCTCACAGGCCTAGCTTCTCCGCAGCATGTGGGATCTTTCCCGACCGGGGCACGAACCCGTGTCCCCTGCACCGGCAGGCGGACTCTCAACCACTGCGCCACCAGGGAAGCCCATGCTCAATACTCTTAAAGATGCAATCATGGTTTTTTTTTTAAGCTCTATAGATAGTGTTCTGTTGTGTGACTACATCATGACATTTTGTGGGTGGACAACTATCTATTTACAATTTTTTTTTATATAATGCTGCTATTATGAACATTTTTGTATATGTCCTCTGCTGTAATAACAGAGCAATAGTATCAATAGGATGTAAATTGTATATATATATATATATATAATATATTTCCCCTACTAGGTAATTTCAGACTTTTCTCAAAAAATTATACTCCAACCAAGACTATACAAAATTTTACCTTAACCAACACAGCATTTTAGTCCTCACAGTACCACATCCTTACTTAGCATATGATTGAATGACTTTTATTAACAGTCATCAGCAACTGTCGCCATGTTCTAATTTTATAATTCCTCAAAATAATGATTTTTTTTTAAGTTTGGTCAATATAGTAGGTCTGAAATTGCATCTTAGGTTTTATTTAGATTTCTATTACTAAGATTAAGTAACTTTTCATATTTTATGGGCCGTTTTTATTTCTTTTTCAGTGAATATCTTTCTCATGTCTTTTGCCCATTTTTTCTAATGGGTTTGCTTGTGCTTTCATTATGGATTCAATAAATTCCTTGTATACTCTATATAAGCCTTTGTTAGTTTCACGTATTGCAAACATCTTCTTGGCAGTTTATAATGTGCTTCTCATTGTCCTAAATATCATATGAAGACCTTCAGGTTTTAAACTTAATGGAGTCAAATTAATTAACCATTTTCTTTATGCACTTGAGGAAATCCTTTCTTACTCTGAAAGCATAAAGATTGTCTTTTGTATTGTCTCCAAAGAAGCTATGGTCTTGCTTTGCTTTTGAAGATTTTAATCTACTTACTAATTTATTTTTGTGTATTTTGTAGGTTGGACTCGATTTCTTTTCTTTTCACCTTCCTTCCTTTGCTGTTCCTCCTTCTTCCTTCTTTCATGCCTCCTTCCCTCTCTTCTTCTCTCCTCTCCTTTCTTTCTTCTTACCCTTGCCCAGGGATAAGGAGTTGTACCATTACTATTTATTCAAGGCTTCTTCTTTTCCCTAGTTAACTACAATGTTTGCTTTATCATTCAGAAATTTCACTACTTAAGTGGTTTTTCTTCTATTCATTATCTTTC